CCTGCTGCTAGGCAGTTGTCTCCTCATGTAGACTCTTTTCCTAATTGTCACATTCTACCTGGCATTTATATACATTGCTCTTGCTACATAAACCACAAATACAGCCAATAAATATCCCTGTTATTTTTGTTCCTTATTTTAATGTTACGTTATAGTGCGCATGCTAAATTCTGCCAGTAACATGAAACAAAGCACAACATTTTTCTGTGCTCCTTAAAGTAGCAATTGACCGAACAAAGCTATTGACATGCTACTTAGTGCTGTGGACTGTCCTGTTCTGAAGCAATCAATCTGAACTGGTGACAGAGAGATAAGCAGGTTGGGAGAAGCACTGCCAAAAATTGTATATCTTTAGATCTTAATTACTTTTGCAAATGGCCATTGAGGAACTTGGACTGAAAATTTGTAAGTGAGAAGGGCAAACCTCAATATTAAAAACAATTACATAAGTTTTAAGATGATCAGTGTGTTGTCTGGGATGGAACAAAAGAGCATGACTAAAATCATATTTTTAGACCTCCTCTTTCACTATCTGCAATCTCTGCTCCAGTGCTGACTAAGCTAAACCAAGGGACTCTCAAAATGGCATTACATATAAAAATAGATTGTAAGACAAAGTATTTTAATGTAGATGTAATGTATTTTAATCTTATTGCATATATATGCCTCAGAGTGAATATGTGAGTGTGTGTGCAGACACATGTGCCCTCATGAGAGAAATTCTATATAAAAGAGGTAGATTTCTCTGAGCCGTCAATATGCCACCTTCATTTTAAGGACACAGGTTGTAGCTATATTGGTCTACATGGAAAAGGAATCAGAACTCGCAGCAGAGGTGATAGCTTTTATTAGACTAACTAGATATTTGCAAAACAAAATGAACTATTCCAACCAGGAGACCTTATAACACCTTCAGTTCTCTTGTGAAATATGAATTTTCACTTCCACCTAGGAGGAATTTTACAATCTCTGCATTCTCCTATGCCTGAGGAAGGGCAAGTGTGCCCAAAAGCTTGAAAATGGAGAATTTTTTTTGCAAATATATAGCTGCTCTAATTAAAGATATTAATTCCATTTTATAAAGTAACAGGCAAAGGCCATGAACCCTCTTGGGTGTCCCATGTACAACTTCTAAAACAGTTTTGTTCACAGTGCAAGTTGTAATTCCCTTGCAACAGAGGAATAAAAGGCTGACAGAGAACTCTACTACATGACTGCTTCATAAATAAATAAATAAAACTTAGCACTCAGTTCTAATCTTTTATATAAAATAAGGTGCTCTTCTACCTGGGACACTGTAAAGGAAAAGAAGGCTAACAAATAAAGATCTCTCAAACTAAATCCAGTCTGTGTATTGTAGTATTATCTAAAGTATGCTTGTATTGCACAAGGGAAGCACTGACTAGACATGAATAAATGGTAAGGAAGAATCTCAGAACATCAACTTGTTCCAAGCCAGCAACTGTGGAGCTAGTTACAAGGAGGGAAAAGAACTCAAAAGAAAATTGCTGAGGAAGATACCTGCAGTTCACACTGAATAGTACATTACTCCTATAGAAAAAAATGTTAACTACTTATGCATGCATGTGTACATGTGCAATTAATGTGCATGACTAAACTGCAAAGCAATTTGCTCCTGAGAGCAGCATCTACACGTGCACCTGGGACAGCAGCAAATTGAGCCAGGGAGCAGCATTTTAGGCCAGGGCTGCTCCTGCTCTGCTCTGCCTCACTGCAGCAGTCAAGGGGAGCTCCAGGCTCTGGCCACAGCTCTCCAGGTACCAGCCTCAGGCTGGCAGGGGGCATGGGGATCAGTCCCGTGGTTTGGCTGATGGCAGCAGTGTGGCACAGGGTCTGGGGGTCAGCCCCAGGCTGGCAGGGGGCACAAGGGGTCAGGCCCAGGCAGTGGGTGACTGCATTGGGTGGCAGAGGAGCTGGCTTGGCTACAAGGCTGCTGCAGCTGCTGAGCCATTTGGCTAGGCAGCAGACAGGAGTGTGGCCCCATGCTGGCTGGGTTGACCAGCCACAGTTTGTACCCAGGTCAGTGTCTTCATGTGCATTGCTGCACAGTAAGTAACTCCACAGCACAGTAATACTTGCATTTACAAGTATTATCCTGCTACAGAGTTATTTTACTGTGGCCTAATAGGGCCGCACATGTAGATGCACAATGCTTACTATTCAGTAAACATCTCGTGTAGATGTGCCCATCAAGTAATTTACTACTTAGCTGGCATGTCTACACAACAAGCTACTGAACAGTGGTTACTGCACATTTATTTAATACTTGTATAATCAAGTATTAAATAAATGTGCAGTAATTGGAGTTACTGCGCAGTAGTGCTGGTGAACACTTTTAAGGGTTGCTGCTGCTCAGTAGCCTACTAAAACTGCACAGTGGCATATTAGCACTGCTGGTGCTGTGACTGTGCAGTATGATTCAGTTGCTGCACTGTTAGCATCTCATGTAGATGTGCCCAGCAAGAAAAAAAAATAGAATTTACTCTTATGGCATTACTTTATGACCTACTTAAATTTATTAGTAAATTTAAGCACTTAGTAATTATTTTCATGAAGTAGATGTTCAAGTCCACATGGACCACATTTTTTTCTTGAAAATTATCTGTTTATTTAACAAAAGGAATGCTTTCATTAAAGAGCTTTTTAATTTGTATTATATATATTCTAAGAATAGCCATAAAACTTAAAATGATTTCCTTGTTGTTCACTTCAGTTCTAGCTTTGAAGCCAAAAATATAAACCAATGATTATTTAGATCAGATTCTGCCATGCTTATTTTCTTGTCCCTACAGTATGATTCTCTTTCTTCACTGTGGCTACTTCTAGAGTAACTTACTGAAGAGGGGCAGATTTTTTTCCTGAATAGATGTAGTTCCAAACAAGACTAAGAATGTGCCAGTCAATTTACTGCCTCAATAAATAGCTTTGTTACAAAATAAATGTTCATTTCCAGTACAATCTTTAATGCAAGTGAATATCTTTGGTTAACTTACCAGCCTGAATAGGCGTACATTCCTGAATAGAAAGCAAGAGGTAGTCCCATAACACTGGTATTTGTCCCTTCAAATGCTTTTTTAAAGTGCTGAATTTCCCCTGCAATGTAAATAGAAATTATGTTGAATCCTAACTCCTGAAACATTCCATAGAGATTTAAGCATGTTTGCTTAGGGCTAGATTGTGACTTCCTGATCCCCTTTCCAAAATAAATAAATAAATAAATCACATTATGGGGAAGTTTCACTGAATTCAGATTTTACCGTTAGTCTCAAGGGCTAGGGACAGACATTCAAAAAGCTGGAGCCTGAATTGATTCAACCTTTGCAGGTTAGTCTAACCTGCCTAGGCTGAACCAGTTTGAAGGAGGACAAACATTTTCTCTGGGCTGAGGCAATGCAAGCACATGTCTGCAGTTGTTCAAGCCAGGAGCAGGGAAGCTGTGCTGAGCTGGGGTGGGGGGGCATGGCCAGTCTAGGCTGAACTGGCCAGAGAGAGGTTTAATTCCCACCCCCACCCCTCTATCCCACTGACAGAGACTAGAGCCAGGTCTGCTGGGCACTCTCCCAAAGGGGGGCAAGGAGGAGAGTTAGTCTCCCCTCTACCCCCACTGGCAGCTGGGTCTACCTGCCATCACCGCCACTCTCCCTGCCCCGGATTAGGCACCCTGCTGGATGACGTAGGGAGAAGGAATAATCCCTGTCCCTGCCCCACTCCCACCCCAAGGGGCCCTGCTGGCTGGCGTCTAGCCATGCCTCCACCCCACCACTGCAGCAGGAAGGGGCAGGGCCCTTGTTGGGGGCAGAAGCTCCCCCAACAAGGGCCCTACAGAGTGAGTGCTGGCAGAGCTGTGGCAGGCTGTGCATGGCAGCGCCGGGGTCTGGAGCAGGCTAGAGCCCTGCAAGCCCCCCACTGCTCTGCCATGCTCTGCAGCAGCTCTGCTGGCCCCGCAGAGCAGCCCCACTGCTGCCCATCACAGTCACTCACTATTCACTGCTCCAGCTTCCGGGCAGGGGCAGGGCTTGGACCCCACCACTCAGTCTGTGCTCGGGGCAAATCCCCTCCCAGCAAAAAGGGCCTTATTCAGCCACTGGCCCTGAGCACACGCCAAGCAGTGGCTGCAGTTGGGCTGGGCAGACCCTGCTGTGGTGCCAGAAGTCAGCGGCTGAATAAGCCCCCTCCTGCCAGGAGGGGGCTTGCCCCGAGCACAGAGAGGCTGCTGGCACCACAGTGGGGTCAGCCTGGCCTGGGCATTGCCACTCTGTGCTCAGGGCCAGTCCCCTCCCGGCAGGAGGGTGCTTATTCAGCTGGTGGCCCCGAGCACAGAGCAGCAGCAGCCGAGCCGGGCAAACCCACTGCGGTGCCAATGGCTGAATAAGCCCCCTCCTACTGGGAGGGAGCTGGCCCCAAGCACAGAAAAGCTGCTGACACCACAGTGCAGCCACCATTCAGCCTGTGCTTGGGGCCAGCAACTGAATAAGCCCCCTCCTGTCAGAAGGGAGTTGGCCTCAAGCACAGAGCGGCAGCAGCAGCCAGGCCTGGCAGACCCCACTGTGGCCTTTTTGTGCTTGGGAAAAGCTCACTTCCAGCAGGCCCCCTCCCCTTATTCAGCCTCTGGCACTGTAGCGGGGTCTGCCCAGGCCAGCCACAGCTGCTGCTCGGCCTGTTCTCAGGGCCAGTGGCTGAAATAAGCCCCCTCTTGCCAGGACGGGGCTTCCTCTGAGCACAGACCAAGTGGCCGGGGCCGGGCCAGGCCCCGCCCCTGCCCACCAGCTGGAGCAGCAAGTGGTGAGTGACCATGACAGGCAAACCAGTTCAGCCCATCACAACTTCCTGGAGCACTAGCCCCTTCCCAGCAGGGCCACTCTGCGGGGCCAGCAGAACTGCTGTGGAGTGCAACAGTGCTGCGGGGGGCTTGCAGGGTACTGGCCCACTCTGGATCTCGGTGCTGCCACGTGCAGCCCACCACAGCTCTGCCAGCACTATAGCACAGCACCCCCTCCAGGAAGGGGCTGGCACTCCCCCACATTATGACAGGGGCTGCTGCCCCCAACAAGGGCCCTGACCCCTCCTGCTACAGCAGAGGGCAGGGGGCAAGGCCCCTGAGGTGGGCAGGAAGCACAGCAGCAAGGGCAGGCAGACCCAGCTGTCAGTGGCAGTAGAAGAGAGACTAACTCTCCTCCCTGCCCCCTCTGCCTCAGGGGCTATGGTGACCCACTGCAGACCCAGCTCTGGTCCCTGCAGGTGGGATAGAGAGTGGGGAATCAAATCCCTCCTGGCCAGACCTCTGCCCCTGCCCATCCCTGCTCTGGCTGAAGAGCAGAGGGGCAGTAATACTACATTCAACAAGGTTTATCTTAAACCAGTTTCAGCCATTTTGAAACTGGTTTATCTGCACTGACTGTCTGTTCTGTTACAGGTTTAAACCAGTTTCTGATCACTTAAACCGGTTTATGTGTAATGGCTGTCCCTAGCCAATGGGACTACATGACTAAGTAACTCCTCACTAGCCTATGATGTCACAGGGGACAGATGAATCACTTTAAAATGGGATGGAGGAGTTATATCAGTGTGTAACTGCAATGTAATGGCTTCATTTGTCCAGGCTGTCCTGCAGTAAGTAGAGGTAAATTGCAGCAATTCAAACTCTTGTTGCAATCAGAAGTAGGTTGCTGCAGTTTACTTTCTCTTCTACATGTTAGGAGCAGACAGATGAAACAGCTACACCAGACCCACTGACACACGTTCCCAGGCAGTAAACTGTGTTCCCCTTTAGAATGGTCCAATTATACATCTGTACCTAATTTGGCCCTGACATTATATCCACATACCATTTATGTTCACTTTCTACTCTAAGTATAGTACAGTACTTGTTGTCTGTAATGTTAATCAAAAAAGCTAACATTAGCCAGATTTTGCTGGGCATCCATAGAAATGGTTACTCCTCTTTAATCAGAAACAGAGTATATTACTGGTGTGTCTAATATAGACAGTATATGGAGTAGTCACAATGAGCTATACCCAGGAATACTCTTGAGAAATTCTTTGCTGAACAATTTCAAATAAAGAAGCTTGGGAAAAAAAAAGTATTTGCAAACTGTAAACAGAAAAGGAAGCAAACACTGTCAAAGAAATGACAGAATATGCATTATTCACGCATTTCTATTAAATGAGAGTGTACAATCTAAACTGATCAATTGTATTTCATCTTGTTGATTTTGCACATTCACTGATAATCAAGAGGCTGTTTTTTTTGTTATTGTTCTTATTTTTAACTTTGTGCCTCCTATGAACATAGGGAGAAAAATGTTGTATCATTACCAGAAACAAAGTTAATCAAACACCCACAACTAACTAGACCTCAGCTTTGAGATGGCTTTGAAATATATGGGCTTTAAAACCAAATTCTGATGACTCCTGAACAAGTTTCAAGGGGAGGTGTACAGTCAAATACAGAGCTTGACCTTCTATGTTTATCCTAATTTTGTTTCTGCCCCTGATTCTGGGCTTACTCACTGTTGCAATGCCACACACCTCAGCAATGATTTGTACCATTGCATTTGAGAATAGAGTCCAAATATTTTTAATTTTCTTATATATTTAGATTATAAAATTAAATCACGCAGGGCGCATCTAAATGAGACGCTTAATGCGTAGTAGCCTAATAACACTGTGCAGTAGTGTGCCAGGCAGAAACTGTGGTAATACTCTACTGCGCGGTAGTATTAGTTTACTGCTCAGTAAACACCACTAAAAAAACGTGTGCCGGTGCTAGTGTGCAGTAACTGTAGTTACTGAGCATTTAATTAGTACTTCATTAAGCGAGTACTAAAATAAATGCACAGTAACTACTACACATTAATTACCATGTCGACACACCCACAGAGCACTACTAGCATTTAACTCATAAACAGCACTTAAAAAAAAGCAACCTAATAGCTAAAATCTTGGTACAATTTAAGCTATTAGCACCCACTGATTTCCTACTGAATAATATTCATATCCATGAATCACATTATATTAAACAAAAATTATTCAGCTATCAGCTAAAACACTTAGGAGTAAATATATTGAAAATAGTGCCCAGGAGGTGGCTACATATAGTAATAAGTAGCATGAGCCTGTATTTCCAACAAATCATTCCAGTACTTTACCCTGTAGAATTAATCTCCTGTAAAGATGGTTTTGAATGCATTTCTGCTCATTTACAGGGGGGGAAAAGTTAAAGAAGAGAGAGATTGAAAATATGAGAATTTTCTCTGTAGGGACATCAACATTCGTATCTTAGCAAAGTTGGGTTTTCTTACGACCCATATCATAAACCTTCATATTTGAAGGATTCTATGAAGAATTTCCACAGTGAAACAAAGACTTGGTTACAGATATCTTTTTTCCTATCTGGCCAGGAATATTGTAACACAATCTGCTAGGAGGGAAAATCTGGCAGTACAGATATATGCTGTAATGAACACAAAACTTTAATTGTATGTCTTTGCAATGCCCCTCAAGTAGGGGTCCTCTTGTTCTCTCTGCTGTAGTTTTATCAGAAATAATGTAGCTTGTGCTGAAACGGTTATATCCTAGATTTTCTAGGAAGCTGTAAGCCTGTGCAGAATAATGGTAATTATAAGCAGAATTCTGTTCAGCTTCCTAATTAACTAAGGATAAAATTATAAATCCCTTCCTTAGTTTTCACTTGGTCCTTCGCCAAAATTCCCGCTCATCCTGAAATTTTGTTCAAGTAAGAAATAAATACAACAACTGAAGGCAAGATTCTTGGTGTCTCTGTGTTGGGGGGCTACAAGGGCATAAAGACAAAAGGAGCAGTAATGCAAGGACTCAAAGAACAGCACTGCTTATCATGACTGTTGGCTCTTGAGCATACCAGGCAGCAGTGCCATAGAGAGATTAGGCTGGCTGAAGGTCATATTGAGAAACCTACTATTTATCATGAGTAGAGGGTGGCAAAATCTAGCCCTGAGCAAGGATTTGGCCTGAATGTGAGAGAGGAGACACGACATCTGTAAAAAGATTAAAATAATATGAGACCAAGAATCTTTCTAGTGAATCAGGGTCCTACAAAGGGAGACTTTTGTTTAAGAAACTGTTGCTTACCGTGGAAAATTAAAGAAGTTGAGCTATCTGGATCCCTGAGAAAATCTGGATCTACTGGGAGGAGAGGGGGTAGGGAGGGGGTACACGTGCCACCACCTTGCTGACCCAAAGTTGAGGCTATATGAAATAACTTAAAACCATCTTCCCCACAATGGCACACTAGAATATTTGCCAGATAGGATCTGTCACTGGCTTACTAAAATCAGCAGCTCCTCTATTCCCT